TGAACGAGAAGAAAAGGGCCGGAAAATGGACGGAGGACTTCAAAAGCGTTTGGCGACCCTCGGCGGATTACTCTGACTCTGATCCCCGCCTCGGGCGACCTACTATTCTACACCCATCAACTTCCTTTTTTTCCGGATCGTTTTTTTTTCATCTGTCTTTTTGTCACAAGTCATGATAGGTAACATCTGTTGATAAATAAGCTTGAATTTTTAGGGTTTTCTTTGATAGAAGTAAAGCTTATTTTTTCGATCGTCTTGTTGCGTCCTTTTCAAAGTCTAATCAATTAATTTCTTGTTGCTCTTTGACGGTTAGTAAACCTTCGAGCAGAAATACTAAAAAAAAACCTGCAGACATTTTTGTATTGAAACCAAATATTTTTAATCTCGGTCTACTTCTTTAAAAAGTTTTTGAATTTCATGTGGAAGATTTGTAAGATAGGCTAGCTGGTTTTCTGGAAAACCGATGGAAATATTCAAAGTTAAATTTTTTAAAGTTTTTCGAAACTCCCATTACTTTAAAAAAAAATCTCGAATTTTCCCTTTTTATTTTGATCCTTATCGCTGTTGTTTTACCTTTCAATTTTTATAATTCGGCAGAAAAAAAAAATATATTTACTGTTCTCCTCTTGTCGGATAAGCAGTCGTTTCTTAAATCATTTCATTTGTTTTCTCGTTGTCCAGAAACGGAAACTATTTATTCCCCTTCCTCGTTATACACGTTTACTTTCATTGCTTAATTTTTTCTTTTTTTTTTCAAATCACGTTTAACAAATTTTAATTTATGTTAAAGAAGGATTTGAAGATGCAAGTCAAATTCCACAATTCCATTGTCAGTGTTAGTTGAATCCAAAAACCCCAGCAAGCTTTTCTGAACGGACTATATTTATCCCAAAGGGAAAAAATCTGAATGGAGACAGCCTCGACCCAAAACTTTTCTTGAAATGCGATCAACGTTAACTTTGGTTGCCGCTGAGACGCAATTTGTGTTGGCCGGAAGAGGGAAACCCGAAAAAATGGCAACTCGGATCGATGCAAATCGTCTTTCTGCCGGCTCCTTCCCTTCAAAACATTCAACTTTATTCAGTCCTGAAAGCAATTTGTTCTGGTTACTATTGTACGAAAGTTTGAGCGGGAAGCAGAGCCTCGGGAAGAACCGAAATGTCAACTTTCGGCACCTTGTTTCTGCATTTTGCATGCTCGCTGACGAATTCCCACAACATCAACCTTTTTCATTTTTTTTTGGACGGTTAGAAGTCACCTTTCAGTCGGTGCCGTCAGAAGAATTGTTCAACTTTTTTTTTTGCATATAACGGAACTCGTTCCCACCATCCTCGTTGTTTTTTCAAGTTTATTACCGTTGAAAAAGCTTGGTATTTCCTCTTTTTCTATCCTTTCTCGTATAGGTTTTTTTTTATTAGTACTGAAGTGACTTCAAGTTGAACATAACCTGTCAAAAATAATTGCTGAGATCTTTAAAGTAGCATAGAAAGATTTGAAATAAAGTAGCCTTATTATCACATGAAGCAAGATTTTTTAACGGGTGATAAAACCCTTCACTTGTTGATTATTAGGACTCAAGTTCTGGGATGTTGAAAAGGCTGAATCCCTTCTTTGACATTTGAAAGTCATTCATGGATTAGAAAAAAAGAAGCCTTTCAAAATCCCTTGATTTTTGAAAAGAATATTTTTTTTTTGGTTTTTTGACCAGCTAGGACGGAAGTGTGTTTGTAGTTTAGGCTTTCAGCAGCTTATTTTGTCTCCAAAACACTTTTTTGGAAATTTAAAACTTTTCCGGTCCCTTTTTTAGGAGAAAAAAGCACCAAATAAATTCGCCTATTAATAACAAATCAAGATAGGCCAATCTGACTCTTTCCATCCCAAAATACTCGGTCAAATCAACCCGTTTGAGGCGCGTCGCCATGCATATTTCCAAGTAATTTATGCAAATCTTGGTTTTGTTCGGACGGTACGACAGTGCCTCTCGTACCACTGTTTTGCGTCCTTTCAAACCGACTGAACTAGTTTTAATTTCGAATTTTACTCGAGGACGAATGAAGAACTTATTTCGAGTTTCGTACTCACCTAAAAACAAGTATTTTTTTTTTGCGAATTTCGGGTTTCGAGCACGACCGAAAGCCTTCTGAGGCCCTTTTTCTCCAATATTTTTTGGGTCAAATTCAGACTTATTACCGATAATTGTTTTTATCATTGATAAATTTATTATAGAAACCAATGAAAAGCTTCATTTGTGAAAAAAGTTCTGGAGAATGTTCTCCGAATTGTTTCTAATTTTTTTTAAATTTCATTTTATAAACTCGATTGCAGTAATTTATCCTTCTTTGTGAATTGGACGATAGTTTCGAAATCGAAACCGTTCTAACCCCCATTTTCTCCGGAGAAAAAAAACGTGAGAAACAAACAACCATTGCCGTTTCAAGAAAGATGGGGGCGAAGAAAGTCACACGGAAAATTGCAGGTTTTTCCATCTAATTTTCGAATCAACACGGTGTTCCCGCGTTTCTTTTTTCCGGACGCTTCGAAAGTACGGTCACTTCAGATGTTGTAGGACATGTGCCACCGCTCGCCGCGCGTCCAACTGCTGATTATCAGCCATTGGGGCCAACCCTCTGATAATACATTCTTACCCGTCTTACCTCTTAAGTTCTCATGTACCTCCTCTCCTCCTGAAGCTCAAAGACTGTCTTTTTTTCCGTGACTTTTTCGCTCTATTGTTCACCTTAGAGTATTTTCGCTTTTAAATTTCTTGAATTTTCAGGATCATCTTGCATCGCCGATATGAGCTCCAGAACGGCAATTTTTCATTTCCAAATTGGATTCAAAGGGATTTTGTGACGAGTTCGTAGGCTTTTTTCAATTTTTGGTATTTTATTTTCATATTTATTACTTGTTCAAAACCTTGTCCACAAAAGTAGCCTTTTTTCAACTAGATTTTTTTTTCGAAAGCTGTGCCAAGCACGAAATTCAGGAGATTTGATAGTATTGTGAAGCTTGATATATTATTGTACTTTTTATATTTTTATAGAGATCTTGGGTCCTCAAAATTCTCATTTTTATGATCTCAACCTTAGAGAGAGCGTCCAAGGCCTTTTTTATTTCGAAGGAACCATGGAGGTACTGTAAACCATCTGAAATGGTTCTCGGCAGGGAGATTCACACAGATCATGGCCATTGTTGACCTAAAGTTTACCCAAACAAACCGGCCGGTGATAAAAATGATATGCAGGCCTTTTGTTTATTTTGTTTCATCCTACATACCTTATTTGCTCAAAAGTCTGGACGGTCAAGAATATTCAGAAACAGTTCAATTTGTTTTTGAGTTCTCGTGTAATGAGTGAAGGCCCCGATAAGACTTTAGGGCGTCAATCAGCTCGTTTTCCCGCAAGAATTGATTCGATCCAACCTTTTTCGGAATGATTGGAAGTTTTTCCTGTAGTTGCGGAAAGGGGAAAATATTTGAGTGATATTGAGCATTGGACACTTTCAGTGACGCCGACTATTGAATAGGTTCTCGTCCGGGTATATATTTCGCTCGAATATTTCAATAGGTTTTTGCAAATTGCTTTCCATTTCAATCCATTGCCCCGCTCCCACTTTTCCACACTTTCAAAAAAAAACTACCGTTACTTTTGTGAAAATCTACTAAAATTTTTGGTGGTAATCCTTGTGCGTCAAGTTCTAAATGAAGTTTTGGTAGCGCTTTTTTTTTTGGAAAACTTTGTCGCATTGATCCTTTTGGTATTTAAAGTCATTCTACTTTGTTCTTGGAAACTTCTTATGCATCAAATCAGTTTTTCAATCTCTCCCAAGAGAATTACCTGCTCTCTTTCAAGACAAAAATATTTGATTTTCAAAAAAAATAAGGTATACATTTCGAAAATAAAAGAATAGTTTCATTTCTTTCATAGTACCCTCCAGTTTCTACTCAATTTTCGTTGTCTTCTATTTCTTCGCCTTGGAGCTCAGAATGAGTCTACCGTAGATGTGCTTTCAAGGAATTATTACCGGAAATGAGTAGCAGAGCTGAAAATTAGCAACCCCTCTGCTTTTGGATTTATCGCTCTCGTTCGCTAATTATTCCCGAACCGCGATGCGGTCGCGGAAACAGCGCCCCGATGGACGGCTTCCGTTGGACGAAAACACCTGGCTCCGCCCACTTTCTCAACTCACCTGTGCCTCGTCGGCCGGATCGGAAGCTGTCGTTCCTTCTGCGTCAGAAACAACGGAACACGATGATTGGCACCTTTTTCTTTTCCTTGAAATCTAGCTGGCTCATGGTAGTTTTACTGAGTTGTGGGAGAGCTTGAATTGCGATTGGATGGATGAAAAGGCAGCTTCTTCGATTATAGAGTACTGTTGTTTTGTTTACTTTTTGTTTTCAATGTCTGCGTCATCATCGGAAATTTCTGAAGCTAAGCTAAAGGGTCCTATCGGTCCAATAACTCAGATTTCAAGGTTAAAATATTTCTCGGCTTCAAATTTTTGGCGGTTAAAAGTATCTTTCGAGCTGTGCGTTCCATCCGAATCTGGTCGAGTTTAAAATTCTTGGAAGTTTCGTTGAAGCTGCCTTGTTCAGTTGAAACTTGGATCAACAAGTCGATGAATTATTTTCTTAAAGCTTCTAACTTTTTCTCAAATTTAGGAAGGAGTTGCAAGTTCGGACAAACCTTTGAAGCCACATCTAAAGTTTGAAATCTGATTACTTCGAAATTCATATTAACGCCAAGCTTTCTCAAAACCTGGCTGTTCTGAACTGCCTGACCAACTCTTATAAATTCAGAAGTGGAAACATAGCCAGCGGATATCGAGTCGGTATACGACTTCTATCTGCTTTGAGCACAACGAGGCTCCGAAGTGAAAGTTCACAAAAGCTCTCACGATTCTGAGTGTCTCAGAATCGAGCCGAGAAACAAGTGCAAGAAAGCTAGGAGCTTTCCTGCTGATAGAACGATATGTTCGAACCAAGCTCGCAGAACCTCCAACTAATTCCTCAACTCTAGGAAGTCTGAGGAACGTCCAAGAGCGCCAAATCTGGCCGGAAGGAACTGAACCCAAATCGGCTCACGGTCGGGTTGACGCTTCTCGACGTCGCCAGAGGCCTCGTGTTTGCAACTGAATTAGAATGCCGGATGTCAAAGGGAGTAATGCGCACTTAGCGTGTCGTTTGGCGGCCAGAGACGTGCTCCAACCTCTTTGGCTAACTTCCCGACGGCTTCCGGACCCGCACTCGTCTTACTTTTTTGGTTCTCTTATCAGAAGTTGTCGCTAGCTTTCTCGGTGAACCGAAAGCTTTTCATTTTTTAACATTGGATGATCCAATAAATCAACGACCTGGGTGATTTTCGACAAGCCTTCTGTTGGTTTCATAAACTTAGAGCTTGAAAAAGGTAAAACTATATTATTCCTGTCTAGAAGCTCTACCTGAGCTGGAAGTAGTGCCAAAAGTCGAAAGTTAGGACGAATATGGACGCAGAAGACATGAGAAAATCCTTGACTTGTACTTGTACCGGTTCCACGATTGTTTTCGGATCCCAAAAAACGCCCCGTCGGATCATCGTCTATCTTTTTATCGTCATTCTGTTATGTTGTGTTTACTCGTGTTTGGGGCGGCTGCTGCCAATATTATTCTGGAACACTGCGGCGGCTTGCGCAACCGATTCCAACGGGTTTTTTCTCTTCTTTTTGGCTTTCTTACAAATATATTTGTCGCGTACGTACTGCCCTTTGCTTATCAGTTTCGGAAATCAAGGTTTTCATTTATTTCTGTTAGAAAAGTTTTGAAAGTCTAGAATTCAGCTTACAGAATGGATTTTGATTCAAGGTACTTTTTAATTGTCTTTGTAAGCGGGTTAGGGCTCCTTAGTTGGACCAGCTTCATATTTTGAAATTTTTAATAATCTAAATGATAGCTTTTTTATTATTCCTCATTTGCCTTGAATTGAGAGTTACTAGCCTGAATGGGATTTTTTGTGAAAGATTCTTCATCTGACCCATTAATTTTCCCAATTCCGATTTTTCCAGTTTTCAAGAAGAGTGCTCAACTTGAAAAACAAATTTTCAATGATTTCCATGCTTTTGTGACCTTTTTGAGGCTCCATTTCCACCGTAGGGCCACAGAGGAATTCTAATAATACTGGAACCAGTTGATTCGAAGCAGAAGCCTCAGTTATTCAACTCGGATCGGTGGCCAACAATACGTTGGAAAGATTAATAATTCTCACCTGCGGGGAGTTTTGATTCGCGGCCCACTGAACTCACCAACCTCACTCGGCTCTTTTTTTCAGTTTCAATGCCAGGTCGTGAATGAATACATCCGACGGAGCAGAACAATGCGCGCGATATGGCAATAGTCGGGTTGCCGCCAATTCTCAACTTTCTGCTGTTGACAACTAGGCTTTCAGTGGCTTTTGGATGAGTTTTCTGTGAATTCGGATATTGGAAACCCTGAAGTTGAAAAAAAAAATCGATGCTGATCACTTTTTTAAAATGTTTCCTATAGATTCAGAGAAGCGCGGCTAGATTAGGCTGGTAGTCGGCCCAAAGAGGAAGGCCGCTTTATTTAAGGTTTTGAATGCCACTGAAAATGGGTAAAAAAAAACGGATTTGCTATATGGAAATTATCAAATTATCAATTCCAGAACTTGCTATTTTGAATGATCGCCTTTCTAGGCACGGTATAAACGAGATTAGAAACGCCTCTTAGGAAATTGTGTAGATCGAGTTTTAAAATTTTCATTCAGCTCATCAAGGAGTGTTTTGGACGATTTTTCAAAGCTTCGAACGTAATTACCTTCCTTGTTAGAAACTGTTAGACAAAAGTGATAATAAACATTAGATCAGATGTTTTAGTCCAAAAGTTTGAGGGTGTCATCTTAATATTTTTTGAATTTAAACATCTGCACTTAGCTTCAGTTTCTTCTTGTATGCGGAAAAATTCATGCAGAATTCAACCTAGTTCAAAAAATTTTCAAGTAGTCACTTCTGAAGTCTTTTTTCACCTTCACCTCAAACGAAATAAAATAAAGTCGTTTTGCAACTCGGCTCGATTGAAGTCTCGGGTGTTTTAGACAAGAGACTGCAACTCATTTACTTCCATCCCCACTGACAAAATCTGAACCCAAACGACTTCGGTTCTGATGACGGAAAGTGTCAGATGCACGAACCTCTTCAGAACCAGTAAGCTGCGTCGAGACACGCCCACCGCCCATATACGGCCCTCGCGCGTCGGTTCCACCGATCTCTTTTGTTCTACTCGGGTATACCTGCTTTTATCACTGCCGCTCGAAGCTTTTCGAGGTTTTCTACTGTTTTTAATGTAAGGTCAGTACTTTTTGACCTTAGTTAGATGCTAGAGAGTTTGAAAGGAAGCTTGTGATTGGTAATTTGCGAGTTCTCATTTGTTGATAGATCGGCGGACCTCTAGAAGTTCGATTACAATTGCGTTTTCATGTTGGAAATTTTTGAATAATCAGTTTTAAAAAGGAAATCATTTTTTGTTGTCATTTTCCTGTTGAATCAGTGTTTCATTAAAAATTATGGTGGAATTTTTTTTTTTTGAAAATTTTGCTCAAAATAGACTTAGTCACCCTTTTAACTGTTATGTTGGTTTAAGAGTTATTTGTAACATAGTAGAAGACTAGAAGACTCATTCAAGTTTTTTCTTACTTTTTTACTGTACCTAACTCCAACAAAAAGCATCCCATTATTTCATATATTTTTTTTATCCACGGCCGCAGTGGACATCACGACTGATTTGTGAACCGCTGCTCTCACCCGACTCATTTTCGGATTTCCATTTCGACCCGCCGATTTTCTCGGTCAGACGTGTTTGCTTTAACATAATATAAATGAAATGAGTGAGGCGGCACACGTTTCGCTTTTCCGGATCCCACTTGATCCACATTTCGGGTCCATGTGTCCAAGTACCGCCGCGCCAAAGGAGAGTACCGTTTTCACCTCCTTACTCAAACGAGATTTATTCTCGAAAAAAAAGCTCTTTCGAACTTTGTCTGGCTGGTCAGTTGTTCTTCTCTTCCAGTTGTTCCCTCTTTCTTTCTTCTTTTCTTGTTTTTGTATTTTTGAATTTTTTTTTCCATTCAAAGAGAAAAATTGCAAGTATTGCACTGATTTTAACGTTAGAGCTTTCCAATTTTTAGCTTGAACTTTTATAAGCCGCATTTGTTTGGGTTGTACTGAGAAAAATTTAGAATTTTCATTACCTCAAAACTGAACTTGATAGCATTCCAATACTACAGTTAAAAAAAACAGCTGTAAAAATTTTTTGAGTCCAGCCGTTGATTTTTTTTCCTTTTTCTTGTGAAAATACCTCAACAGATTCCATCAGTCGCTTTTTCCAGCTCATATTCCCTGTGAAATCACTGCCTTTTTGCATTAATCCTAGGGAGTGATCCACCAGATCGAACTCGAGTAACCACGGCCGAACCCAAAAAAGTTGTCGCGCTGTCCCGCAAAAAAAAGAACGATTCCCAAGCAGCCAAGGCCGAGCAGCTTCGAATGGGTCCGTGATATACTCGGCCGCCCTTTTTTCCCCCTCAACTGAGGTCACTGAGATGTGCCGGCACAAAAACGAGGGATCATCATCGCATCCGACGCTTTTGTTATCGGCTGCCCCGATTCCAACCACATCTTTTTCCACTACGGTACGAAACTTCCTTCCCACAACCTTCAACTTCTATCTTGGCCTCATAGTTTGTTGCTCCCGTTTTTGGAAAAAATTCAAGTTTTTGATTGTTTGGCATTGAAGAAAAAAAAACTGGGAATCTGGCCGAATTTTTAGCACGGTTATACGTATCAAAATCCATGATCCATAAGTTTTTTGAAAAAGTTTGAACCAAATTTTGAGCTGACTTTTTTTATCCATCTACGCAGAATACACTTGTGCTTATGTTAAGTTTTTTTTCGTTATTCTGGTTAAAATAACCTTGAAAGAAACCACACATGGCTCAGAGCTTTTCGCTAAATGGCTAATTTTTGGAAATGGAATAATTTAACAAATATAAATTGAACTTCAAAATACAAACTTTAGCCCAAGAATAAACGCGTTTTCTTCAATAAACTCCAAAATTTTTCCGTTTCAAGGCTAACTTTAACAATTTGACTCACGCCTTCCTTTTTTCCTCATTCAATTACCAGGACGGCTCTTTTGTACATACCCTTTTCCTCATTTGCCCGGAAAAAATTCTCCTGAATTTCACCACGCTCCGAAATGAACGTTATTTAAAACATAAACACTCTAAGCGGCCGACATTCGCGGGTAAGTTTAGTTTATATTTATTTCACTCGACCCACGAGCATCTGCTTCGGCTCTCAACCCGAGTCGGTACTGAGAATCATTCCGCTTTTCATTTCCATTTCTTCCAAACCTGAAGTATTTGAAGTTCAGAGTTGAAATAAAAGTTAAAGTTCAAGACGGAAAGTACGTGAGTTGGGAGAAAGTGGACGGCCGTCCGATGCGTCATTTTTGGACGTGCGGTAAATGACTAACAACCAGGACAAACCCGACCTGACACCACTCTTACCTGTACTAAACTTACTGAAAGTACCTTTTCGAAGGGACCACTAGCGAAAAGGCAAAATACCTGTCATGGGAAAAAACAATTCCGGAAGATTGTGCGCTCCAATGATAATAAATCAAAAAATGCTAACTTTAATTTTCGATTATTCGGTTTTTTTTTAATTTCTGCGCTATGGTTTAGGTTCGATTTAATAAATGAGCTTATAAAATATTTTAACAAAAGTTTGAAATCCTCAACTTTTTTTCCACTGGGCACGTTTTTTTCGAAAGCCTTTTTTTACTACTTATAATGTTCACAGTTTAAAAAAAGTTTCAAAAAGAGAAAAACTTGAGGAAAAACTTAAAAAAAGGATTTTTTTACACAGATCAGAATGGAGCTATTTTTTTAAAAATCCATTTTTTTCCAGTTGGTTTTTAGATTTTTTTGTGATATCGTTGAAGGTATTGCTAATGTTACCTACCTAATGAACTTCTCAACTTAATTGAAAAATTCAACAGTTTTGATAAGCATTTCACTGACTAAAGAGGCTTTTTTAGATTTTAAGGGATGTCAGCTTGGGTTTTGAAATAGGGTCAACCAACCATTGCTCATGTTACTTCATTCCTTAAAATATTTTCGAAAGGCAGGTGCTGGCAATATTTTCTTAGAAATTCAATATTCTTCTTGACAAAAACCAAAGTAACAAACCGTTGCTCATGTTACCGGCCCAAAAGGTTCTCCGTACTTTTTGAATAGTACAAGTCGTCGCCCTGAGGCGTTTTAGGCAAATGCGCGGCGTTTGAATAAGCGTCTTGTGAGGCTTTTGTAGTAGCAGGACGTCGGCCCCTTCAAGGCGTTACGAAACGACATTTACCTGTGTAAACTGCCCTTTCCAAACTCCTTCTGTTCATTTTTTACATCCGACCTTCTTTTCTTTCTTTTTTCGCATAACCTGTTTTCAAGGAATTTTGTAGATCTGCTGCTACTTTTGTTTTTATAAGTTTTCCGATCATCCTGCTTCAAACTCTTGGTTGAGAGTA